TCACTTCATGCCACACTCAAACTCCACTCACGGCGTCTGGGCGACAGGGACTTTGCACAGCCGTGCCCTCTGCCCGGAACACTGTTTCCCTCCTCAGCACCTTCACCTGCACCTTCTGCATCCTGCAAGTCTCCACTTACTTCCCACTTCCCTGCATGTTACCCTCTAGGGCTGCTGCGAGGCGGCACCACAGGCAGGCATCCTGAAACAGCAGAAGCAGACCCCCACCGTCCTGGAGGCCAGAAGTGCAAAGTCAAGGCGTTGGCAGAGTGGGAGCTCTGCAGGAGGCTCTGTCTTCACCTCCTCCAGCTTCCGGTGGCTGCAGCAATCCCTGGTGTCCCTGGCCTTGTAGCCATGTCATTCCAAATCTCTGCCTCCATCGTGCGTGGTGTCTCTTCTTGTGTGAAATCCCGTGTATCTATGTCCAAAATTCCCTCTCCTTGGTCAGGCACAGTGCTTCATGCCTCTAATTGCAGCATTTTGGGAGGCTGAGGTGGGTGGATTACCTGAGGTCAGGAGTTCGAGACCAGCCTGGCCAACATGGTGAAACCCCATCTCTGCTAAAAATACAAAAAAAAATTAGCCCGGTGTGGTTGTGGGCACCTGTAATCCCAGCTATTCTGGAGGCTGAGGCAGGAGAATTGCTTGAACCCGGGAGGTGGACGTGGAGGTGGCAGTGAGCCGAGGTCACGCCATTGCACTCCAGCCTGGGCAACAAGAGCAAGACTCCATCTCAAAAAAAAAAAAGAAAAGAAAGAAAGAAAAGATCCCTCACCTTTCTCTTGTGAGAACATCGGTCATTGCATTTAGAGCTCACTGTAATCCAGGATGACCTCATCATAACTTGAGGACATCTACAAAACCTTCCTTCCAAACCAGGCCACCTTCACAGGTCCTGGAGTCAGGACTTGGACATACCTTTTAGGTGGACGTGATCCACCACATATTATCCTGGAAAGCGTTTCTCGACCTGCAGGGTCAGGGTTCATGGCCACCCACCTGCTCCTAGACTCAGAAAAGTGGAGTCTTGTTCAGGGTCACCCAGATGGAACCTGGATTGAGACCTCGGTCTCACCTGCCTGATTTTCACTGTAGAAAGTCAGAACTACCTAGAGAATGAAATCAGTAAAATACCTAGGAACACGGTGTTTGCTCCCCAGCTGGGAGCTATTTCCCTGCACAGATAGGCTAATGAGTTTTATCTATGCTGAATTATCCTATGGCTCCACCAAGGTGACATGTAGCCTAAGCTGCTTTAGATGTACATTATTAAAAATGAGAACATAACAGTTAACAACTGTGGACTGCTTCCTAGTAAATCTGGATGACTAACTTTGCCTATGCCCAATGTTAACCCTCAAGGGAACACGAAGTGTTGATAATCACACAGACATTATCAAAATGTCCAGTAATCCCAGGGGCTGGAAATCGGATCTAGAACTGAATACCAGTCCAGAAGCCTCAGCAGTCCTGATGGAATCTGAAGGTCTGCCCCTCCCACAGCTCTCGCTCGGTTCTTACTCTCTCTCGTTCCTTTTCTGTTAGTTTACAAAGGCTGCTTTAATTACCCCAGAGATGCTTCAGAGTCCGCTGGCTTTCCTTGCAGCCTTTCACATGTTTACCCAATTTTTCTCTGGCTCTCTCAATTTGATTAATTGCAAAAAACGAAATAAAAAAGAGCTCCTGCAAGCATGCAGCTGCTTTTGTGTGCAGATGGAGCTTTTCAGCACATTACAGAAACCAGCTGCCGGGCTGAGCTCTTAGCCCCGTGATAGGGAGAGCTTCATCCTTCTTGAGCTCTTCTCTAAAAGGCAGACTGGGGCAGGGTCAGAAGCTAATAAGGCAGACTGCCAGTCACTCATGATTATCAGCCAGATGCTCTGTGGTTCCCACCGTAGTGCCGTGAGACACATCTCACTTACCGGTGCTCAGGGGCCATTTCCATTAAGGGCTCTGATGGGGGCTCCCACACATCAAGTTGTCGTTTTGTTCCTCTTGTCTTTCTTTTCCTGCTAGCCTATAAATTTTGCATTGAAGGCTAGAATTAACCAACCCTCAGTGATCCATATAAATATTCTTTATATTCATCTGAGAGGCCAGTCAAATGCAAGTAAGTAGGCTTGTGTAGTCAAATCCAACGAGGTATATTCAGAAGTCTGATCTGGACTTGAGTTATTTTCACTGATTCTGTGTCCAGTATTCTTGAGTTTTCTAAATCATGATTAAGATCAGTCATCCCAAGCGTAACCTGGAGTTGTGCTGTGAAGCACGATAACAATCGATCAGAACAAACTGACTTGGAAGAAACACGGCCCCTCCCCGAGGAGCGGTTCAGCACCTTGTGAGCAGATTTCAGCTGCGTTCAAGAGCCCTTGGCCCCAAAATAGCTCTCTTTGTCTACCAGCAAGTCCCAAAAGATTTGCCTGTCGCACGTGATTCTGATTTGGGACAAGTCCTTGGAGCTCTGTTTTCTGGAAGGAGTGAGTGTTGCCTGTGGGTTTGCCTAGTCCCAGCGTGAGGAGATGGGAGGAGGAGGGTGACAGGTGGATGGAGCCAGGGAACAGGAAGGGGACTGGGCAGGCGAGGGCTCCGAGGAGGCAGAGGTGAGATGATGCCTGGGCCAGGAACAGGCACTTGGAGAACACAGCCGGTGATAGGAGGCTCTTTATGTCTGGACAGGCAAAATGCTCCCCAAGGTCCAAGTTGTCAGCCTTAACTAAGGGCAGTTACCTATTTTTGCCTGTGTTTCGTTTTGAATAGACCACTTCTCATTTCTTTTTTTTTGGGGGGGTGGGGGGAGCGGAGTCTCGCTCTGTCGCCCAGGCTGGAGTGCAGTGGCCGGACCTCAGCTCACTGCAAGCTCCGCCTCCCAGGTTTACGCCATTCTCCTGCCTCAGTCTCTCGAGTGGCTGGGACTACAGGCGCCTGCCACCTCACCCGGCTAATTTTTTTGTATTTTTCTTTTGTTTAAGTAGAGACAGGGTTTCACCATGTTAGCCAGGATGGTCTCGATCTCCTGACCTCGTGATCCGCCCGTCTCGGCCTCCCAAAGTGCTGGGATTACAGGCTTGAGCCACCGCGCCTGGCCAGACCGCTTCTCATTTCTTAAACAGGAAGATGGATTGAGAGATATTTGACGTGCTTTTATTCTATAACGTGTGTCCATCCTGCAAGCTCTTAATATTTAGTTAAAACACCACCACATGGAATTAGAGAGCCAGAATTAGAACGGGAATGACGGCCCCTGTGTACCCAGAGATCAAAGCAACATCTCACGAGGAACACACCCATTCTTTCTTAAAAAAAGAACAGGGTGAATTTGGCCTTTCCCTTGGTTAACCCACTCTTATCCAGTAAGGCACCACACCTGCAACAAGCCCTCATTTCCCAATGAGAAGATTGCCCCTCAAGGTTTTTTTGGTTGTCCAATTGAAATAAATTGGGAAGGCAGAATCGCACTGGACACTGAAATCCTCCGCAAAGGTAGCCTTGCGTTTTTAAAATCATATATATCAAACTATTATTTTTTTCACTCTCATGCCACGAAGCATGGGGAATGCACCTGATTCTTGCAGGTGGATTGTGTTCATATCATCACTAGAACTGCATCTTTGATTTCCCCGAGCATCATCTGTGGGCACTTTGACCTAAGTTGCTTCAAGTACACGTTTTAAATCTCCCTGCGCGAGTGCCTCACTGGAAGTCTTATGGCGGGCCCCAGTTTCCATCACACATCATGAAGGTGGGTGGGGTTTTCCCTCTGCGGTCGGCTGCTAGTCGTCTCCCACACAGTGAGGGAGGCGGACTCCAGGATGGCGACTGTGCTGTAGGCGTTTGCTTCTCTTCTCTGCAATCCTTCCAGTGGCTGTGGGGTGATGGGGTTGCCTGCCTGCGGAAAAGTGTCCTCAACCAGTCCTCCTGAGCCACTGGAAAGGGACCCGGGAACGTGGGAGATGGAAAAGCTTGGCTGTCGGGCAATTCTCTTTTCTAAAGAGAGACTTTTGAGGAACACAATTTGCATTGTGTTCGGGCGTCTCTACTATTTTGGAGAGTCCCCTCGCCCCACGTTCAGAAGACGGTTCATCTTGTTCCCTCTCAAGGAAAGCTGTTCCTGGTTTCTACAGGAGAATGGGTACTCACACCTTTTTGCAAAAGAATACATCCATCATGGAAAACATGTCGTTGTCCTTAAAGACTCTGGTCACCTGCAGCTAGGTCTGGGCTGATGGTTCCAGTGGCCCTCAGCTGAGGGACCCCAAGGCCAGGCTACGTCCCGCAGGAAGGCTGGAAGGAACAATTTGCTTGGAATGGGTGTGGCTCGATTCTTCCATTCTTTGCATATCTTGGGGAAAAATCATAAATGTGCTGCTAAGGTTTGGGTTAGAAAATAAAAATGAGTAAAATGCTTTTTAAATCCAACTTTATCTTCCCTCCCTACAAATTCTGCAGATTCTTCGGACACTTGTCGGTTAAGCTGTCCTTGGTCTGATGTTGGCTCTTTCTGTGCTCACATGGTTTCTTTAAAGCAGTGAGCATGAATAGCTTCTTACTACCTTTTCATTTTAGAAGAATGTCAGCACCTTTCTGACATCTCAGCTCATCTCATTACAATACACCTGAGTGTGGGATGTAATTCTCTGTGTGTGTACATATGTATGGATGGACAGATGGATGATGGATGAATAGACAGAAACTTCTGTACGTATACACAGATCTGCAGGATTTCTTGAGACAGGTTGAAGTGTGTTACTGAACAGAATTTGGATGTTGGTGCGGTTCTGTTTTCTAGCTCTTTGCATGGGATCGAAAGATAGCATTTGTTAATAAGATGACTTGGACGTGTCTCGTCTGTTTTCAGGGCCTTGGTTTCCTCTTCTCAAAAATGGGCATTATATATATATCTCTCTCTCACAGGAGTGTCTTTCTGATGGAAAAACAACATCAAAAACTCTAAGAGCGCTAGACTTAAGGCTAACACTTTCTTTCCCTTTCTCTTTTAGCCTCTGAAGCCTCTGAAGAGCCGATCCATTCAGGATGGGAAACCACGCAGGCAAACGAGAATTAAACACCGAGAAGGCCAGTACGGTAAGATAGGAGCTGAACCTACAAATGCGCATGTCGTTTTCTTATTAAACATAAATCCCCTTGGTGTGTCAGAGGCTACGGGCTTGGGCTCTTGCTGCTACACTCTTCCCTGACAGCTGGGTGGAAGCCTGGCCCTTGTTACTACGATTAATTATTATTAATTTATTCAGGAAGATTGCATGGCAATAGGTAGGTCCTGACCTTGCAAAGAAATAAAGGAATGAAGGAAGGGAAGGAGTTAGGAAGAAGAAAGAAAGGGAGGAAAAAAGAGACACAGAGAAAGAGAAAGAGAAAGAGGGAAATGAGGAGGAGAGGAAGACGAAGCAGCCCTTCCTCTTGGTCCACGTTCTGTGATTGGTCCTTGAAGTATCAAGAGGCTCTCAGAGAGGAAAGCGATTGTAAATTCCTTTGCTCTCATGCAAAAATACTTTTGATTTTTTTTTAACATTTTTATTTTTTAGATAAAAGTATTTCCAAACTGCATTCTCTCTAATTAGCTACTGGCTTGAAAGAGCATGACAATTTACACCAATTCATGAACGGTGAAACACATCAGATTTTCTTTTAGTTCAAAAACCTAATTCCATCTACTAAGGTCCCACTCCTTTCTGCTCACCCACCATGGAGTTTGCCTCTGACTTTTCATTCTGGTCTGGTTCTGGAAGAACTCACACTGAATCCCAGAGGTCTGGCGAAAGGACAGGAAATACTTGAGCTGTTTCTTTGGACCTCTCCTAAATCGATACCCTCCTTTCTCCTGCATGTGGCTACTTGGCTCCTCACCAGTTGTCCTTGCTTTGGGGTCATGCTCTGGCCTGAATGTGTATTGGAATCTCCCAGAGACTTTTCAGACCTGCCAGGGTCTCTGCCCTCCTCAGATCCCAATGCAGCCGTGGGCATTTTTCAAAGTTCTGCAGGCTCCAGAGCCAAGGTTCCAGGTTCCTCCTGCTCCCATGTGTCTTGTACTTTGGCTGCCAGGATTTTCCTCTCTTGATTGCATATTCACCCTCCTGCCTCTCGAACTTTCAGGAAGCCCTTAGCACAGACTAAAGTCCAAGGTCCTCAGCCTCTGGCTCCGGCCCTTCTTCAATCTCACTGTCACTGGCCTTTCCAGTGGCAGCTCCTCTACAGCCCTTTCCTCACCCTTATCAGGGAACATTTGGAAAATACAGTTAAACAAACAGGAAACTGCAAATTAAATATCACTGGAATCCTTCTGGCTAGTAAGAATTCATCTTCTTTGTATTTCTAGTGCGGCATTCGGCCACTGTCCGCCTTATTTGAAGGCATCGGCTTCCTCTGTCCGATTCGGATTCTCTACGTTGCCTTTGGGTCCCCTGTAGTGCCCTGAATCAGGGTTCTGGACCCTTTTCCCACTGAGACGCTCAGGACAGATGATCCAGTGATGTTGACAAGGACCACAAATGCCCAGGGGTCCTAGCTGTCTGTCTCTCGGCCTACCCCTCTCTCTGCACTGGAGAATCATTTCAGATTGTGAGGAGTAAGCCTGCCAGTGTGCACAGAACTGTGGACGCACCCTAATTTGTATGGGGCGGCCCTTGCTCTTGGTCCACACTGTGTGATCGGTCCCAGAAGTATCAGCAGGTTCTTGGAGAGGGAAGAGATTATAAAAGTCCTTTGCTCTGATGCAAAAATACTTTTAATTTTTCAACATGTTTTATTTTTTAAACATACATATTTTCCCTCAAGGGAAATTATTCCATTTCATTGGTACTTTAATTCAACATAAAATTATGTGTGCTCCAACTTGCGGCAGATGTGGTGCACTGGAATGTCCAGCTGCCGAAGATGGGCTCAGGTTAGGGTCGGGGAAGATGGGCTAGGGTTAGGGTCAGGGGAATCCCCGACTTACACCCGGAATGCTTTAGAAATGTCCGCGGAATTGAACAGAATTGAATTTCAGTCTCCAGACCTCTTCACTGTGGTCTGTAGTGCATTTTTATTTAATAGTAATAATAAACTTGGAAGAAATGGGGCCTTTTCTGATTTGTACTTTAACTCAATTTCTGTGTCAGCCACATGAGTAATTTTCCCTGATTTGCTTTCAAATCATCCATGGAAGATGAACAGGTGACTATATACTGTTCCTGTGTATATTTTATCTTAATTAAAGTGATAAACAGTATTTAGTTTCTTACCTAAGGATTTAGAAAGACTGACTTTATAAATATGTAAATAGTTCTAGTCAGTGTCGAATGGGGGAGTTGACTCATTATGTTAGTCAGCCTATACTTAAACTGTATCACAGATAATGTCAGTGTTATAATTAGCAGTAACGACCATAAATGTATTAAGTTACTAATTTATTAAGAACATGGCTTGGATACAGTATCTGCACCAGGAGGATTAAGTTTCAGCTAAAAGTGAAAGTGGAAAAAACAGCTCTGCTCAGAGATCTCTAGGCTGTTAACACTAGTGGTATTTTAAGTCTTAGAATGACTGATTCGTAACTCCAGTTTCAAAAAACCTCTCTGTGGTGTACAGTTTCTTTCCTGTTGTTTGACACTGTAAAACACCCACATATGTTTTTAATTTGTTTAATGCTATCAGAGTAAGATTGTTGAGCCATAGCAAAGCCCATACTTAGGCTTTTGTTTTCTGAAATCACATGTTTAAAGTTCTGATCATTTAAAAACCTCAAAACTTGGAAAATTTAAAACTCTGATTCCTGTAGGTGGTTTTAAGAAGAGCTTTTTTTTTTTTCTTTAAACTTGATGGGAAGTATTTCATGCCCGTCCAAGAACATGCCCTGTGATGCTGCATAGCTTAGTAGAGCGTTTAAACTTGAACCACAAAAGAAAACGTGACGTGAGCTCCAGCCGTGTCTACCACTCTGTGGATTTCTGTCTGTGATTCTGGGAGTCATTTTCCCCCTCAGGAGAGAGTGAAGGGAAGCTTCTGTCAGTTTCAGGTGCTGGTTACTGATCTGTCAGCAGGGAGGGCAGCTGCAGCGGGGGCTGCCGGTCCATCCCACACACAGGCTCTGCGGAGCCGCCCCACTGCCCAGACCCGGCTGCTCAGGGCCACCTCCTCCCCGCCCTGCTGCCACCTTCTCCACCCCTCCCCACCCACACCCGATGCCTCTTTCCTCTGCCCTCATAGAGCCTGCGGCCGAGTGCTCTGATACAGACCGTAGTGATTTGCTAATCATCCGACTTCTTCCCCTCCGACAACTTTCCTCTCTCTGATGCCTCCATCTCTAAGCCTGGAGCATCCCCAGCACATAACTGGCTCACAGATGTTCGAAAGAGTAAATGAATCATACCTACTTCCTAACTTCGTTTTCTCATAAAAGCTCAGTTTCCTGAGCAGGCTTTGGGTGCCGTTGGCTGCTGGGGAGGTGGTGGGGAGGCCTCGTCCGTTGCCTGCAGGAGCTTCCAGTCTCCTTTGCAAGTTTTGCCCTCAGTGACTCAGGGCTTTGAAATTTGCTTCTCTCTCGTCCCGAATAAGCCACGGCAGGATGTCAGAGGAAGAGAAACTAACTAAAAGGTTAACTGTGGAATTTCTCTGACGGGTGGAAAAAAACACTTTTCTGGAGTTACAGTGTTAGTCCAATCATGTGGGGCACAGGTGCCTGGTAACCAGTGGTTGAGCCGCCTTCCTGGGCCAGTCGAGGGTCAGAACAGGAGACGTCAGATTCAGGGAGAAACACTCCGCCCATCAGAGGAGCGGGCAGCCTGCCCTCCTGACGCGTGATTCGCTCGTGTGGATGGAGTGTAACTTCCTCCAGGCAGGCTCAGGTTCAGTGCACAGCTCTGCTTCTCAGAAACGAAGAAACTCCTGTTCTGCCTTTGACTCCCTATGTTTTTTTTTTAAGTTGCAGGGAAATTTGGTTTCCAAATGGTTCTGCCTCACTATTTTACCAGCTTTTTATCACCCTGCCCATTTTGTATTTGGTTCTCCGTCTTACTACAGAACTTGGCGGAACCCAAGAAGGAAAGGGTACCAGCTGCCCTGGAGAACCCAGGGACGTGCCTCAGTGCCAGGAGGGGAGCAGGGGGCAAGACTCACCCACAGAGGGACACTCTGTCTCGGCAGTCCTTGGGCCTTAGGACATAGACACTTGGCTTCACTGGCTGCTGGAGGAATTCACTCCTTTTTGAGGAATTCACTCCTTTTTGGCATTGTGAATCAAAGGGGCTGGGCAGTTACCTTTGGGAGGGTCAGAAGCGCTCAGAACAGTGCCCATGTGCCTAGCCAGGCTGCTTGTGGCGTTTCTCCCTGGGCTTTCTCTGAATCCTGTGGATCTGTTGACCTGTGGGCTTGCTCTGTGGGGTTTTCTGGTGATCGCTGAGCCTCCTGGGGATGATTCACTACGTGTTCAAAACACCAAACGAGGCCAGGTGCGGTGGCCCACGCTTGGAATCCCAGCAGTGTGGGAGGCTGAAGCAGGCAGATTGCTTGAGCCCAGGAGTTCAAAACCAGCCTGGACAACAAAGTGAGACCCCCCCATCTCTACAGAAAAATCAAAAAATTAGTCAGGTGTGGTGGTGTGCACCTACAGTCCCAGCTACTCGGCAGGCTGAGGTGGGAGGATCACCTGAACCTGGAGAGGTTGAGGCTACAGTGAGCCATGATCACACCACTGCACTCCAGCCTGGGCAACCAAGTGAGACCCTGTCTCAAAAAAAACCACAAAACGCGCGCACACACACACACACGCACACACAGACACATCAAATTCTATCTAGACCAGTGCTAACACTGTATTACTGCCTCCTGTGAGCCAGCGACGTTGCAGACATTATCTACATTGTATGTTGTATGAGTTCTTGGGCTGCCATAACAAAATGGCACAGACTGAATGGCTTAAATGACCGACATTTCTTCTGTCACAGTCCAGAAGACTGGAAATCCAACAGCAAGGTGCCAAGGGTTAGTTTCCTCTGCAGCCTCTCCTTGGCTTGTAGACAGCATCTTCTGTCTGCAGCCTCCGGTGGCCGTCCCTCTGTGTGTGTCTGTGTCCTATTCTCTGCGTA